GGGGGACAGGTAAGGAAAGACCCTTGGGGGAGGTGACATTTGAGCTGAAACTTGAAGGACGAATCAGAGTTAACCAGATGAAAAGGAAGGTGGGATTGGGAATGCCATTTCAGGGTAGAGGATGCTTGAAGGCAAGGAACCAAGAAACCTCATGACCAATCATGTAATTTCTCCACAAAGAATCCTTTGCTGGCTCCCTCTCCAGGTGGTACAAAGCCCTGCTCGCTCTCCAGTCGGCCCCGTCTCCAACATGCCCGCAACTCTCCAGATGCCTTGTACTTCTCTCTGTGCATACAGTGCTCATGATTTCACCCTCAGTGCCTTTGCACAAGCCTTTCCCCTTTGTTTCCTGGCAAGATTCAGCTGCCCTGTGAACTTCTCTGACCTCCCTAGACAAGTTACGCTCCCCTTGGACCTACATGCCTTGCCCTTACATGTGCGTTTGTGGATTTGTTTCTATAGCCCACTACCAGGAGGATGTGTGAATAAGGTCTCATGGGTAAGGTCCCCATTCCATTTATTATCCGCATTTCCATTATGCATCCATAGTGCCTGCAGAGCACCTGGCACAAAGTTGGCACTCAAAAACCTGGGAGAGGGTGGAAAAAAGAGAGAAGAAGCAGCCAAGTTATGTTGATTTCAAGGTCACATCCTTTGAAGTATGCATGTCTATGTCAGAACCCAGAGATTTTTTTAAGGTTTACTTAGGATATCAGCACACCCCACTTTGGTGGATACAAATTTCATTTTGAAAGCAAGAATCAGTGACATGGAAATGTTCTGTGGGTTTTTTTCAAGGTTGTATTGCACTTCAGAATGTACCCCTGTAGAGAATTCATGCTCAGGAAGGTGAAAAGTGTGCTGTTGTCCCATGTCCACCTGCTCCCAGAGGCCACTTCAGCAAGCCTCTGTCACTGCACATACCCCACGTCCACTTCTAAGGCTCCAAAGGGACTTCTGCTTATTTGTTTTTCTTGCAAAACACCCAGATTAGCTTTCAAAATTGCAGCTAAAAAGGGGCAAATAACTTACCAAAAAGGCAAGGGTGGGTCACCGAATAATTATCACCTGATTTGTCCCCAGCTGCCTCTCTCTTGGCCACATTCTCCTGCTCAGTTTGGCACAGCTCCAGGGTTGTCCGGTAAATGGCCCTAATGTCTACCAACAGGGAGTCAGCCCGATGAATTGTGGTGCTACCGCATAATTTAACACTCTGCAGACATTACAATGATATCAAAGGTCCATGTTTATTGACGGGGGAGATGTTCCTGACATCTTGTTAGGTCGATACAAACACGGTTCTTTATGCAGAAAAAAAAGGATCTGAAATATGGAGACCAAAGTATTTGTTATTTTTGCTTATTTCCATTATTTTCAAAAATTTTAATAATGAACTCAAGTCCATTGTGAAAAAGTAATAATTTTAAAAATTTAAACTCAATAAACAAAGCAAAAAGATTAAACACATCTATTTTAGTTGGTTTATTGTGGGTCACACTTACATATATTACAAAGTGTTAGATTATAAGGTAGATTTTCTAAGGCCAGGAGGCATAGGCTTCTGAGCTCTTGTCACCCGGTAAGGTGCCACTCCTATTTCAAGACTCAGCTCAATTGCTACATTTCTGGGGACTCTTCCTGCTCAAATCTGTATAAAATGCCATTTCCGAGCGTTCTCCCAGTCCACTGGAGCCCCCCTACGTCCCAGCACCCCTCTTCAGTATTGTAATGGTTTCCTCATAGCACACCCTGAGCCCCTGTGAGGGGACTAGTCAGCTCCTTGTCCTGGGTCTACTTGGCACATTGAACAAATGAATGATCCAATATATGGATGTGTGACATTGGGCATGTCATTGCCCTTCTATAAACCTCAGTGTCCTCAACATTAAAATGGGGATCAATGTGCCCAACCTGAGAGTTGCTGTAAGGATTAAATGAATGCTTTGTGCACTGAAGAACTTGATAGAGATCTTTGGTCCTCATGACGAAGGCATATTGACAACCTGAATCCAGAGTCTACACCATGTTTCTTCTCCCAGCTCATGCTCTGGGCTGCTTGCTAATGAGACAGGAAGTTCCACTAAAAAATGTCTTTGTCCAAGCAGTAAAGAGAAGTTGTGTGCATGGGTTTCTGTCTTCTTGTGTTAAATGAGAATATAGTCGACCTCCAGCTGCCAGCCGTCCCACGAGGTCCCCACTGGAAGGCAGTCTACACAGAGCCAAACCCTGACCTTCCAGAGCCCTGAGGAACGTGGTCTGGGGAACGAGGTTCTTCCCACAGCTACAGAGGATGGTTTTGAGCAACACCACTGTTTTATGGTTATTATTTTGAATAGAAAGCCTTCTAAACTATGTTGTAAATCAACACAACACAGTAAACAGAGTTTTATACCCGTTTTGTGTTGAGTTAGGCTCACTATGTTTTCTTTTGAGGTATTAACTTCATATATAAATAGTAATGATAGCTAACATTTATTTTGGCCTCACTATGTTGCAGACGCCATTCTGAATATTGTACGTATATTTGCTCATTAAATCTTCGTAACAATTATAGGACATAGGTGCTGTTATTATCCCCACTTTCCATATAAGGAAACTGAGGCCCAGAGAGGTTAAGTGAAGTGCCTGAAGTCCCAAGGCACAACATATAAACCCCAGCATCATGGCTCTGGAGCCCACAGACTCAACACTGCACTACAGCTGTCCAGCCAACGCTGTGCAAAGGAGAGCTCAGAATGGAGAGAGAGCTGGGGATGGGCTGTGCGTTCATTTCTTACTTACATATTATAGAACATATTGAAAATAAAATAGAAGAAAGGAGAGACTCTAAATCCGCCAACCAGCATAAATACTCCTCACTTACTCATACCATCCCGTAGAATAATGGAGTGATTATATACATCAGTAAAGCCTCAGTTTACATTTGGGTGATAGTGAAGTAAATGTGGCAACAGGGTTATTGTTGAGGAAAGTGTCAAAAGGGTGTATTAAAACTTTTTAGCCTGCGGGGCCAGCTCAGTGGCGTAGCAGTTAAGTTTGGTGCATTCTGCTTTGGCGGCCCAGGTTCTCAGGTTCGGATCCCAGGTGCAGACCAACACCATTCATCAAGCCATGCTGTGGCAGCCTCCTATATACCAAACAGAGGGAGATTGGTACAAATGTTAGCTCAGGGCCACTCTTCCTCACCAAAAAACAAACAAACAAAAACCCAAAAAATCCACTTTGGCCTGACTATACTAAATAAAGATTGTATGTCTCACTCCTCCTCCCCAGGAACATCACCTCCATATGCATACTCATTATCATCATCTAAATGCCCTGAAGTTCTCTCTGATTCCCTCTCTTCCTGGGCACACTGAGCATTCTCTTGCAGAGTCTGCCTGAGGCATTTTTCCACTGAGCTGTTGCTGCTTCAAAATGCTCTCAAATGTGAATGAGGATTTACAAAGCCACTAGGAATATTCAAGGCTGATACACACAGCACAGTGATCACTCCTCACCCTGCACTCAAGACTCTTCATTGTGCCTCATGCTGCCATGCATTTCTTTTGCTTTTGCTCACTCATTCATTCATTCAACAAAGGTTTATTTAGTAGCTACTGTGTACCAGGTCCTCAATCCTCAAGGACCTGAGGCCTAATGGAAGAGAGAAACATTAAAAGGATATTATGTTGATAATTGTACAGATGTGAGCTGTGAAAAACTCTGTGAAGGAAGAGAACAGACAGCTATGGGAAAGACTTGCAGGGGACTCAATTTAGATGAGACGGGTAAGACCTCAAGAACGAGGAATGAGATGGGGAAAGGATGGAAGTTCTTGCAGACAGAGGAACAGCAAATAAAAGGACCTGGCCCATCTGTGGATCTAAAGACCACTCCATGGCTACTGAGAAGAGGCAGCTTGGCAAGAGATACATCTGGAGCCACAGGCAGGGTGGCACCAGATCAGGGAGGGTGTAGGGCCATGGGCAGGACTAAGTATTTTCTCCTAACTGCAACGGGCAGCCAGTGAAAGCATGTGAGCAAGGAGGTCGCGTGAGAAGGAAAATGCCCTCCTCGCCTTCAAGGAATTCACAAAGATATAATTAGATTATGAGCTCCAAAAACCTTCATTTAGCCTTGGGTAAAATGATGAGACCACAGAGATCACACTAATATTTTACTAGAGTGCTTGTGAAGATACAATCATGTTGAGAATTCTAGTTCTGTTCTGGAATTTACTCTTCTCAGTAAGGATATGAAAGAGCAGGTTAGGGAATGCTTATGTCCTGGGCACAAGAGGAGCAGAGTGAACAGAATACATTGGCCAGATGGGGGTAATGTCTTCCTTAAATTTAAATAGATACAGCTTGTTTCTTGTTGTCATAAATTACAATTTCTTTCTTCAGTGTTTACTGGCAAAGATCAAGAAGCTTCAGGATTTACTATATTTACTATAAAGTCTTTATTTTTCATAATAATTGCATGTTTGATATTAGCTATTATCTTTGTTCTCCTAGCACATGGATTGGCAATCCGCAGCCCGTGGGCCAAATCTGGCCTGCCCCCTGTTTTTAAATGGCCAGGTGCGTTGACCATGTCTTTTATCGTCTGGATGTGATGCTTTGACATCTGGAGCCTCGCTGGTCCTGGAGGAACTGCTCGTCCCAGGGTTAGCCACTTCCTAGAGATAGTTAACAAATGGGCATGCTTTTCAAACACAAACCCACCAGTCCAGAGCCCCCAGCCCCAACCACCTCCTTTACTGGGGCTCTCATACTCCAGACTACCATCCACCTGCCCTGAACACTCCGGGGCCAGGTACTCAGAAAACCAGGGACAGATGCTATGCCCCAGAGCCTGCTGAAATTATTCAAACAAGCCAGTCCTAAGCCTGCTTATCTTCCCTCACCCAGTCCTTCCCACAGCAACAACAGTAAAGGCTCTCACCCACAATTTCCTCCTCTTCTTCAGGGCTGACCTGGTGCTTCCCCACGGGGCCATGTGTGGCATGGTGTGCCCTCTCCTCTTGGAACCTGTGAATAACAAACTATCTTTTCAATGGTCATCATCTCCTGATGCATAGGCCTTTCTACTCCTCAAATTTTCTATTAATACAGTCATGCATCACTTAACAGTGGGGATACATTCTGAAAAATGCATTATTAGGTGATTTTATCATTGTGTAAACATCATAGAGTGCACTTACACAAACCTAGATGGCATAGCCTACTACACACCTAGGCCATATGGGACTAATCTTATGGGACCATGTTGTGGTATATGTGGTCCTTCATTGATGGAAATGTTACGTGGTGCGTGACTGAAGAGTATATTTTAAAACACAATGAGCTACGAAGGACTTTTATATTCTTAAATGGTTGAAAAAAATCAAAAGAAAAAGAACATTTTGTACATAAAATTATGTGAAATTCAAATTTTACTGGAACCCGGCCATCCTCATTCCTTTGCATTTGTCTGTGGCTGCTCTTGCCCTACCATGGCACAACTGAGTATTTGTGACAGAGACCTTATAGCCCGCGAAACCTAAAATATTTATTACCTTCACAGACATAGTTTGTGACCTCTGCCATAATCTATAGGACATGGTAGTTATGTTATTTGCTCATTTCAGCTATAAACTTGTGTAAATTCACCTATTGCTATCTATGTGGTGTAGATCTGCTTATAGTCTGAAAACTTTAGAATCTGTAGGTATAGCTTTCTTCCTACAGTCTACCCCATAACTGAGTTTCCGGTGTTTGATTTCTTAAAAAAGATCCTAGTTTTTATTTATTTTTTACTTGTTATTTTTTTGTGTGAGAAAGTTTTACCCTGAGCTAACATCCATTACCAATCCTCCTCTTATTTATTTTTCGTTTGTTTGTTTGAGGAAGATTAGCCCTGAGCTAACATCCATGCCAATTATCCTCCACTTTGTATGTATCCTCCACAGCATGGCTGATGAGTGGAGTAAGTCCGCACCCGGGATCTGAACCCACAAACCCGAGCTGCTGAGGTGGAGCACGCGGAACTCTAAGCACTCGGCCATGAGGCCGGCACCAAGATTCTTGCTTTTAGATGAGGAGATCTTATTTTAGAAGAAAACTTCACGTTGTGACTCAGGACTCCCAGATAGATAATAGAAACAAATTTCATGAAGCATTACTCATCCTTACACTGTGTGGATAACTTTGATGCTTTCTGTTCTGTTTTCTATTTTTAAAATATACAGCTCACAATCTGCTGTTTTCACTATCTACTCATGAGTCAATGTGCACGTTTTAATAAACACCATGAATCTAACAGATTCAAATCCAAACAACACAAAGTGTTTCTCTTCTACACAGTCTACTGAGGAAGACAAATATAGAAACAGATAACAGCAATAAAGCACAAGTGGCATAATACAAATTTAAAAGAATGTTCTAGAGGGGCTGGCCCTGTTGCCGAGTGGTTAAAGTTCCACACTCTCCACTGTGGCAGCCCGGGTTCATGGGTTCGCATCCCGGGCACAGACCTACTCCACTCACCAACCACACTGTGGAGGTGTCCCATATACAAAAAAGCACAGGAAGATGGGCACAGATGTTAGCTCAGGGCAAGTCTTCCTCAGCAAAAATAAAAATTAAAAAAATAAAAGAATGTTCTAGAAACAAACAGGAAAAAGAGCTAATTTTTTTTCTTGGAGTTGTTGGATAAGGTTTCATAGAGCAAGTGAGATCTGAACTGAGTCTTGAAGGATGGGCAGGAAATCCTTGGTTGAGAAGTGATAGAAAGCAAGATTCACGCCACATGAGAAAGACGTGCTCTATAATAACAGAATCTCCACGAGCCTGAGCACTAGTCTCACTCTATTGCTTATTTCTACTACACTGAAGTCAGGAGGGAACATATGAATTTCCGCCTCCTTACGCTGTCACTCACAAGGCTCTGCACATGAGACACTACGTGAAGTCCGATGCCATCTCCAAGATTCCTGCAGATTCTTCATAGTCTCCTTGGCTCTGAGTCCTAGTTCTCCATGAAATCTTAATATCACTTGTGTTTATTTTCTGTGATGGACTGTTCTCTGTTCTCTGCCCCATTTCCATGATTTGCCATCCATCCCAACCTCAAGCCAATCCACAGGTCTTTTCCCAAAGGTTTGGGGTGATGGAGAGAGTTCACATCACCCTATTTCTAGGCATTCTCCTCTTAAATATTTCCTGCTTCTCATTTTCTAAGTCAGGCTTGACTCTCCTTCAGGCATGCTTAAGAATCAATAATCTCCTTTAATATGCAGACAACTTTAGAGTTCTCCTCACTTCCAGATTTGGGCCTGTCCCAAACTCATCCATATTGGACAAATAAAAGGGTCACACTGGGTTCCTCCATTTCACTGGTGTACTTCAGGAGTGTTGGAAGGTGGGAGTGGTCCACCCTGGGTGCAAGCAATAACAGAATGGCTTGTTGGTAAAGAATTTAAAAACAATAATAGAACCAAGTTGGTCTGATTTCTGTTGTCACCATGCACCAGCAATTCGAAATGATGCAGTAATAAAATACTCCTTCCTACTGGGCCTGCCCCACTGTTAACCTTGCCCACCCCACCCTGCCACTCCTTGGCAGGCACTGCTCCATTTAGGAACACAAAAGGAGCAGGCACCTTGAAGTGTCCATCTTTCTCTTCATCTCTGCCGGGGAGATTTCCTTTTCCAAGCATAGGGAACGTCCTCCTTCTTGTCATTCTTTCTTCCTTTGGTTTCTGTGCTTCCACTGTCTCCTGGTTTTTCTCCATTGCCTCTACTTACACTTCCCCAGTCTCCTTCCAAATTTCTCCTTTCCCTGTAATAAACCTCTTCCCTGAACTAGATAGGAAGCAGGCGTGGTTTCCTGACTCTAAGGAGCTAATTACATGGGAAATTCTTGCCCAAATTTTGCCATGCAAATGGAGCTAGAGGAAAAATAGAAAAGCATCATGTTCTAGAGAGGGTTTCCAGTCCCAGGAAGGGAAGTGTGTCCTAAATGGAGACTTGAGAGGAGGAAGAGAGACTAAGAGTGAGGGGAGGGTAGGCCCGTCATTTTTGATCTGAATGAAGCCAGCTCTCCTGAGGTCTGGTAGAAATACTCCACTCAAGATTCTTGCGTAAGATTTCAGGAATGAGACAAAAGATAGAGCTAAATTCTGTGGCAGAATTATGTTACTCCACAGCACAGCAGAAGGTTTGAATCTTTTAGGTGATAGAGGTGGTGGTGGGTTTCCAGGTTGTAAAGGCAAAGGATCAAAGGGAAGCACCAGGAGTAGGTGACCGGCCACAGCAGCCTGTGGGTTCCTCCCCTACACTTAGCTTCATATGGGTGCCTCACGCATTCCCCAAACAAGAGCTGCTCATCACTGATGTTCAATCTCACATATGGTTGCTTAGGGTCAGGTGGAAAGTTTGGCCTGCTCAACCACTATTTGATCCATGGGCTGCCTAATGGTCTGGTGTCTATCAAGGTCTTTATCCAGAAGTAAGTGTCTAAAGAGCGTCTCCAGCACCGTGGACAGGGGCAGAGTGCAGGGCCCAAGCCCCACACCTGGGAAAGTAATGAGTGTTGCTGGTATCCAGGAGGGAATGGGAACAGAGGAAATGCAGCCTCTTGTTCACATGCACTTATAAGCATAGGAAAAGGCTGAATATTCACACTGTTAGCACTAACAAGGAAGGGGTTCATTGCCTTCCAACCCTAGAGGTAGAAATCTCCAATTTTCCTTACATTCTATGAGGTTTATCATTCCAAGAGACAGAGGCACTGGCCACTCTGACCCAACATGAAGTGAGCAGCTGAGGTCTTCCCAGAAGCAGGCCCTCAGCACCCACCCTATTCCACTCCAATTCCACTGTAGGATGTTGAATTCCATGCACTACCTGGCTTCAGTCACACTTCCCTGCCCTCCTCCTCTGCCTCTCCATCCATATCCCCGTTCACCATTCACCAGAGTCTAGGCATAGTACTATTGGCTCCTGCTTGGCACAAATCACTAAATGCACCACTCCAGTCAAGTAGGAGTCTCCAGTCAATGGCAGAGTCCCTGAGAGTCGGAGGTACCGCCAGGCTGCAGGAGGGAAATAACCCATCTCTGTGGGTGCCTACCAAGGCAAAGAAGAAGAACACCACAAGAAAAGAGGAAAATCACATATGATGAGGGTATTCTGTGTCAATATTAGGAGACTCCTTGAAAACTTTGAGGATAAGGAGTCCTTCTTAAGAAGGCACAAAATCCAAAAACTGTAAAGGAAAAGATTGACATATTGGGCTACTATTTTTTAAACACGTATGATAAAAATTACCACAAAGAAAACCAAGCCAAAACAAAAAACAATAGAGCGGACAAAGCACTTTTAACACATGTGACCAATAGGTTAGTAGAACTAGTACACAAAGAGAGCCTACAGATTGATTTAAAAATAGACTAATGGAAAAGGGCAAAGGACGTGAACACGCAACTGATACAGGAAGAAATGCAAATAACCAATAAAACTCGGACAAGAAATTCAATCTCACTAGTAGGGAAATATAAATTAATATAAGAATGAAATATCATTTTTCACACCCGAGATTGGAAAAAAGGTCTTAAATTAAGAGAAGTAAGAAACAACTGGCAAAGAGGAAGGAAAGAGGAGCACCTACACATTGTTGGTGGTGGTGGTGGTGGGTGGTGGTGGGTGGGCAAATATACTTTGCAAGATATTCTCATAATTTCCAGTAAAGTCACAAATCCACATATCTGTTGGCCTGTAAGTCTCATTTTGAAGATCTATCTTATAAAGATACAAAACAAGCAGTATTTAGATTCAAACCCATCATTGATTCTAGTGGCAAAAAAAAAAGTAAGTTTGTCAAAGGAAAATTTTCCACTTACACTTTCCCAGGAGATGACAACACTGAATATCATATTTCACTCCAACTGATTGATAAAGGACCATGAACTTGGTCCCTGGAAAGACAGACCCTAACAGATCTATTGGAAGACCTTTCCTGACCAGTGAGCAATGGGACAGACATATGGACTCATTCAATCCTTAATTAACATAACTTCTTAAAAAACCCCTAACTTTTTCCCATCTGCAAACTTTTCAGTGAATTTCTTCACTGGCATGTACTGCTTACCCTGCAATTTAATAAACTTTGTATTTTTAAATGCTCTGGTGGACTTTATTTTACTCTTACACAGAATAAATGAAACAGGTGAGCTATGGTTTGGATGTGCTGGGTTCTAGCGCCCGTAGGATGAGTCCTGGGGAGAGGAAGGCAGGCAGTTGTAGGAGTGCATCTGAAACAGGGTTGACGCGTCTGGGAAGGAGAAGCAGATCAAGAAGCCATCAGCCAAGAGGTGCTCACTGAAGTCACAGATAAGAATAGGATCCTGGCTAAGAGGAAGGTGTTTGCCTGAGAAGCTAACGCTTCATGGGAGCTCTGGCGGATTCTCTCAAACATACTGAAGCAGAAAGTGTGTTCCTTCAATTGAAGGGTCCTATGTTCATTCTTTTTTTTAAAATTATTTTATTGAGGTCATATTGGTTTATAACATTGTGTAAAGTTCAGGTGTACATTATTATAAATCAATTTCTGTATAGACTGTATCATGTTCGCCATCAAGAGTCTAGTTTTTATCTATCACCACATACGTGCCCATTTACCCCTTTCACCCACCTCCCCACTTCCTTCCCCTCTGGTAACCATTAATCTGTTCTCCTTATCCACGTTTATCTTCCACATATGAGTGAAATCATATGGCGTTTGTCCTTCTCTGTCTGGCTTATTTCACTTAGCATGATAACCTCAAATTCATCCATAGTTGTCTTTTTTGTGGCTCAGTAGTATTCCATTGTATATATATACCACATCTTGTTTATCCATTCATCAGTTGATGGGCACTTGGTTGCTTCCACTTCTTGGCTATTGTGAATAATGCTGCAATGAACATAGGAATGCATAAATCTCTTTGAGTTGTTGATTTCATATTCTTTGGATAAATATCCACCAGTGGGATAGCTGGATCATATGGTATTTCTATTTTTAACTTTTTGAGAAATCTCCATACTGTTTTCCATAATGGCCGCACCAGATTGCAATCTCACCAGCAGTGTATAGGGTTCCCTTTTCTCCACACCCTCTCCAACATTTGTTATTTCTTGTCTTGTTAACTATAGCCATTCTGATGAGTGTAAGGTGATATCTCATTGTAATTTTGATTTGCATTTCCCTAATAATTAGTGATGTTGAATATCTTTTCATGTGCCTGTTGGCCATCCGTATATCTTCTTTGGAAAAATGTCTATTCGTATCCTCTGCCCAGTTCTTGATCAGGTTTTTTGGTTGTTGTTGAGTTGTATGAGCTCTTTATATATTTTGGAAATTGACCCCTTGTCAGATATATGATTTGTATACAATGGAGAAAGGAAAGTCTCTTCAATAAACGGTGCAGGGAAAACTGGACAGCCACATGCAAAAGAAGGAAAGTAGACCATTATCTTACACCATACACAAAAATTAATTCAAAATAGATTGAAGACTTGAATGTAAGACCTGAAACCATAAAATTCCCAAAAGAAAATATAGACAGTATACTCTTCGACATCAGTTTTAGTACCTTTTTTAATACCATGTCTACTCAGGCAAGGGAAACAACAGAAACAATAAACAAATGGGACTACCTTGGATTAAAAAGCTCCTGCAAGGCAAAGGAAACCGTCAATGAAATGAAAGACAACCCAACACCTGGGAGAAAATATCTGAAAATCATACACCCAACTATGTCCATTCTTTACTTGCAGTCAACCTCCAATGACCAGTGCCTCCTGTTGCTTATAGTTTTAAGCTGAGTGTGTTGTTTCCTTCCACATCTGTAATTCTTTTTCCAGACTTCCTTCAGGAAACAAGGGAGCCATATGGCCATCTCATGATGGAATAAGCATAGAGGTTCCAGGAGTCTTCCCATAAATTAGCATTATTTTGCAGCGTTGATAAGAAAACAAGACCTACCCGTGTTTCAAGAAGGAATCTCAGCCTTCAGATTCATATTAAAAAACATGTAGTTTCATCTAGATTTAATTCGATTTCTATTTGGAGTCCCTTTACCACCAGCACTGCCACTGTTCCATAGGAAGAGTGGAAATTTAATCCCATTATGTTCCAGTTCATCCCCACCCCAACTCACAGCTCTCTGCCTCCTCTGTGCCATCATTGAGAATTAACTATCGGTTCCCCCACAGAGATATCACTTCCTGTCCACTGTCCTCAGGTCCCCTAAGATCTCTGTGGAGTCCAATTGCCCTTTGTTCTCCTCACTCACCGAAGAACTCTGCCCAGATAGCTTCACACATGGGCCCTCTCTTTAGGACTCACCCAATGTTCTGGGCCTCTGGGACTTGGGAATCCCTGAGAGGCTGTGGCCATTCCTTTCTGGAAACTTCCTAACTCTTTAGACTCTAGTACCAGACTTCCTCCCGGCCCCACCCCACCCAAAGGAATTCAATTATGATTTTAGACTCAAAAGGCACTCCCTCTATTGTGACGGTTTACCTCAGAGGCATCTCACTTAATCTCCTTAGTGAGTTTGGGGCTTTAGCCAGTGTGAAAGATGACATGAGGGGAGCCATATTAAAATAGAGCCAGAGCAGCCATTTCAGAGGAATTGCCTTGTGTGTCTTGTTTTATTTATCTTACAAAATGGATCAAACTGCCAACATTCCTAAAGGTCAGTAAGGACAAGAATAGCCTGTTTGTAAGGACTGATGAAACTGGAATTTGCTGATGACCAGATCGCTAACCAATCAATGAAGTATATGTCCAAGTCTAGCCTTTTGCCTGATGACCGAATCTCAAGCCAATCTGGGAAGTACAAACCCAGCGTTACTTCATCTAGCACCAGTGAACTCTTCTTTAACACAATTTACTTCATCCTCCTCCCTTTTCCCCATAAAAGCTTTCGTTGGCCTCTCCTGTAATCAGGACACTATTTGGGTTTCTACCTGTTTCTGCGCTTCCCAAATTGTAATTCTTTGATCCCAAATAAATGCTTTGCCTCTTAAACTGGTTTCTGTTCTTGTAGGTTGACACCAGAGAGTAGCAGGCTGTTTTCTGCTATTGCTGTCCTCCCCTGAGACAATCAACTTAAACTGGCCCAACTTCCTGGATGAAGGTGGTTGAGGGGAAAGTTCAGGGGGAAAAAAAGGAAATACGCAAGAGGGGAAAAACATTAATTAATATCTCTAAATATCACTCTACTACTTTTGTTTATTTGTAGTTCCTTAGATGTGGGTCCTGGCTCTAGTTTAGATCATTTCATCATACCCAAGACTCATATCAACTGCCAACTCACCACCCCCACTTGGGTACCTATAAAAACAATGATGTAACAAAATTTTTGATGTTTTGAACATTAAAAATCTTCATTGACAATGAACCCCTTGACACAAAAGGGGAATTAGAAATAACCTGAAATCTGCATTTATACCATACCTGGTTTTCTCCGGTGGAGATAGCATCAACTTTCTGGTATCTCCTCACCACAGAGAGGAGCCTTCGCCAAATAGGAAGCTGGTTCTTTTGTGTCAAGGAGCCATAGGGTTAGGATCCTGTTATCTGTTGGATGATAATGGCTTCTGATTGGTAGTTGGATGGTACTATGCTAATCAGAAATTCTGTGACAAATTTTTTTTTAAAGGTATGCTTTTTTTTCTTTTTTTGGTGAGGAAGATTGGCCCTGAGCTAACATCTGTTGCCAATCTTCCTCTTTTTTTTTCCTCCCCAAACCCCCCAATACATAGTTGTATATCCCAGTTGTAGGTTCTCCTGGTTCTTCTATGTGGGATGCCGCCATAGCATGGCCAAATGAGTGGTGCTATGTCCACGCCCAGGATCTGAACTAGTGAACCCTGGGCTGCCATAGTGGAGCACGCAAACTTAACCACTCTGCCATGGACTGGCCCCTTAAACTTTTTTTAAGAAATAATACTTAGTAGAGCCAAAAATGCTTTGTTAGATTTGCAGAATGTAATCATATTTTTCTAAAGGGTGGTGGCAGTGGGAAATGGGAAAAATCTCTCCATCAGCAAAATTAGAATAGATTTCCTAGTCCCAATAGAGGTAAATGGCAGATGCTTAAGATGATACTTTCAGAGAACATTTCTATAGTATGTTTCCAGAAAAGTGTTTCCAAACAGTGTGGGGCATTGGAAACCCTGACGATGAGCTGTAGTGCTCTTGAGCGGGAAGTTGGCCACTGGCGCCCCCTGGTGGAGATACGGCTTGCTGTTGTTGATTATTTTCTTCCTTCATGAAGGAGAAGAGGGCGAGAACACAGGCTAAGGGATTGCTTTCTGATGTAGTTGCTTGCGTTTGGTTCTCCCTTTTCTTCTCTTTTCAGTAAAGGGAAGGAACAACACCTAATATATTCTTTTACTTCAATTTTCTTATGGTAATATTAAAGGTGTGTTTTGTGACAAAATTTTCAAAAAGGTAAATTAAAGGCTTAACTCCTTCATAGGTACCCACCCTTTACCAAAAATGTCCATTATGATTTCTTTTCTCTCAGTTTATTTTATTATTTTATTTTATTTTTGCTAAAGAAGATTTGCCCTGAGCTAAAATCCATGCCAATCTTCCTCTTTTTTTAGTATGTGGGCCATGAGCACAGTGTGGCTGCTAACAGAACGGTGTTAACAGAGCGCTAGCAGCAGTCTGGGCCTGGGAACTAAACCCCAGGCAGACAAAGCAGAGCGTGCTGAACTTAACCACTAGGCCACTGGGTTTGGCCCTCTGCTTATTTTTATATAACAACATATAATACTGTTATTTTTGAACCTATCTCTTCTCACTGAATGTCCACATCAGTACATATGTATGTAATTTTTTTTTATCTGTTGTATAGTATCTTCAGAGGGAACAGGCCAGAGTACATTTACTCATACTGTATTTAGCCATCGGGTTTCTTCCGCTTGTTTGCTGTAACGAGCAGGGCGGCAATGAACATTCTTGTGTGTCCCGTGCATATGTGTGAGTTGTCCTTGGGAGTAGATGAGACGTGGAATTCCTGAGTCAAAGAATGTGTACACTTTAAGTTCTAAGATACTGCCAAATTTCCTCCCAGTTCAGCACTGAAATTTTATAAACTGCCCACAGCATGTGGAGTAAATATCTTGTCTCCATTTACACCGTCTTTCAATCTAGAGAGAAGAAATAAGCTTATTTTAATTCCCCTGATTACTAACTAGATGGAAATTGTTTTCATATTTCATGGTCATTCCACATTATTTTCTTCCGTGAATGCCTATTCTGTTTTATACAGTTCAATATTGAATTATGTGTGTTTTTCTCTTTAACATGGAGGAATTCTTTGTATATTCTGGATATTAGTCCTCGCTTATACTGCTCAATCTTTAATTTTGTTTATGAGTCTTTTGTTTTTCATAAGTTATCATATTGATATAATCAGGTTTACCAATCTCTTTCCTGGTTTTTCTTTTTTGTTTTAAGAGAATTTCACGTTTCTTTTATTTTTTTTCTTTTTATTTTATAACTGGAACTTTGTACCTTTTGACCCCCTTCACCCATTTCCCCCACTCCTCACTTGGCTAGAGCGAGGCAGAGGGAGAAGGCAAAGGTGGTGCCCACCAGTCTCCTCCTGGGAGAATATTCCAGCAGGCTCTTAGATGTGTGTGTTAAATTAGATGTCTGCCCCTCAGGCTAATGCTTTAATATAAGCAAAGGGGCCTCTTTCCCTTACAGTCAGGGCACAACTGGCTGCTTCTGCCCTGGGCCCTGGGGCCGGTCAGTCCGAGCGCACCAGCCCTTTAAGAGCACTTTCTCAGATCCCTACCACCTTGTGGGTCTCCTGGACGCAAGCCCCATTGGTTTTCAAAGCTAGGTGATTTGGGAGCTTGTCTCTCTGGTGCAGGTCTTAAAAGTTGGGGTGCCCGATGTGGGGTTGGAACCCTTTGCTCTTCAAGGAGAAGCTTGGGGTTCTGAGTTCCCTCCCTCCCTACTGGGGGTCAGTGCACTGGGGATGGGGTTTATGTCGAGATGTGTCCCAGCCTCTCCCGCCCTCTTCCATGTGGTTTTCTTCTCTTTTGCCCAATGTGTAGTCATCTCTTAGCCACCTTTAGGTCTTTTTCAGAGGAAATTCTTCCATATGTAGCTGTGGACTTGGTGTGTCCGTGGGAGGAAGTGAATTCAGGACCTTCCTACGTCACCATCTTGAACAGGAACCATCAAAAGGTACATACCTTTTATATTTTCTTCTGTGACTTTGCAACTTTTATATTAGTTTCTTTAACCATCAGGAACATACTTTATAATTAGTTAAGGATCTATCTCAAACGTTTTCCATATGTATGGACAAAATTTGTTGAATAACTTACCTTTCTGAACTGCTTCAAATAGCCACCTTTTTCATATACTAAATTCTAACATACACAAGGCTTTCAAGGTGAGAAGAGATATCTTGGCCAGAGATGCAAATTTGGGAGAAGTCGACATATACATGACATTTGGAGCTTGCAAGTGAAATCAGTCTCCTGGGGGTAATGGGTAGAGTGAGAAGAGGAAAATAAAGCAGATTGAAGACACAATTGAAGGAGGACAGGGCAGGGGGCAGAGATACAATGTCTGCTGAATCTAAGCCCCTTGGAGTAGCTGCATTCCTACCCTTGGAGGGTATGGAAGCCCCATCAAGGGCACAGGGTCCTGCCTTCGGATTTGGCTCAGGTCACCCCTGATGGTTCCTGTGGCTCTCCTTTGCCCCTTGATATTCCTTGGTCTCTGACCAGCATTTAACTCCTTGCTAGCATCACTTGCGGGAGGAGAGAGTGGTCCTTACAACTAAGGGGCACTACTGACATCCGATGTATGCAGACTGTGGATGCTAAAGATCATAGGATGCTGGAAGCATTTTGCACAAATGCACAACTGTCCTTCCCAAAATGCCAATAGCATCTCTTTTGAGAAACTCTGGAAGAGATATCAGCAAGGAAGCTATTATAGATCTACTGGAGAAATGATGAAGAGCTGAGCCAGAGCAGTGACAAAAGATCCAGAGGAGGAGATGGGTATAAGGGATATTCATGAAGTAAAATCAACAGGACTTGGTCTTGGTTGGTTGATCCAGGGTAAGCAAGAAGGAGGAGTCAATGAAGATTCCCAAGGTTGTCGTATTGGCAGCTGAGTGGCTGAGTATTTCATCCACAATATAGAAATACAGGAGCAGGGCTGGGTAGGTTGGAAATGGTTAATTCAATTTGGACCAATTTGAGGTCCCTGTGGGAGATTATGCGGGGAAGCCCAGCAAGCCAGGAGTCTCGGAACATGTAAGAAACGGATATGAAGAAAAATCCCACACAAGAGACTGAGAGGGAACAGTCAGATTTGGGAACCACTCTTGGCCTACATGTCCTCATGGATTAGTAGCATATGTGGGAAACGTCCCAGTAAAACACACAGACCACTGGTCATTCTAGGCCAGCCATGCTTCTCCAGTGAAGCCTGCTTGTGGCCTTGAGGATCCACAAGACAGACAGCCTGGGGCTGACCCTGACTCACACAGCAGGTTCTCTGATGAGAGCTGAACTAAAACTTGGCAAGCGTAAATTCAGTAAGACTGGAACTTTCTCAGCTTCTGTCTCTCCTGCCGGAAACAGGAAGGGAAGGAAAGAGTAAAACTAACTAATCATCAAATTCTAGCCCATGTGCATGCGGGTTTAGGGGAAGGCATTGAAACCACAAACACCTCTCACTTATCTCTATCTAGGAGATAATTTAATGTAGATAACAATTTTTTCAATGTCATATAAAGCCCTCAGCAAACGCAGCTTCAAGCTCCCCCACCCTGCAGATTGCTGCTTCCAACTCCTGCAGTAAAAACCTGGGGCTGCCACTAATCCCATGACTGTTGCTTCATGGGCTGCACATTCTTGTGAGGGATGTGTCAGCAATGCTGAGTCCAAAGAGGATGGATTCGCAAAACATCACTCTCAGCGGAAAGGAGCTGACCCGTGGCCGGCTGTCAGACAGTGATTTACAGATTGGAAATGTGCCCACCTCTGAGTTCCTAAGAAACACTACTCAATATTGTTTGGGAAGCTAATGTCTTTTGTTCATTTCTTTTGTCTCTGCTCACTTGTTCTTCTGATTGAGGATCTCCTTTCTGGAACACTCTCTAGCTTTCCTCTATGTTTCCATTGTTCCTTAGCCTCCCACATTAAGCAAAGGAGTTTATAGTGAGTCCTAAGACCTGCCTTCTCTTTCCCATTGTAAGATTCTGTCTCCAACTTGAAATCAGGGTAGAGATCCAGGATTTAAGATAAGTCTTTGCTGGACTGTTTAAAGGGGCTTTACAAAGAGGGTGGCACTTATGCTGAATGGTTAAGATCAGACCCCTTCCAGCACTCACAGCTTACATTTATTTCAAAACATCTTTGCTCAGTTTTTCAAAATGCAGCTCTCTCACCACCTGCCTCAAATTATCCTGGGGCACCTGAAAACTGGAAATCTCTGTGCTTCACCCCAGACCTCAGGTCTCTGAGGGTGGGGCTTAGAGATCTCCAGGTTAAACAAACGCCCAAACTGATTTTTAAGTACACAAGACTTGAGAACCGCCGTCCAAGACGGAGAATTTTGGTAGTAAATACACGTCCAGTCTTATTTAACTCAGCCTCAAAATATCTGAGTAGTGAAATGAAGGCTATTTTTTTCCTTTCCTTTTCTTGTTTTTTTTTTAAGCAGCAAATACATTTCTTCAAATGGAATGGCAGGCAGACACTCAAGACACACAGTAGAGAGTAGTAGTCTGGTTGAGGGGGGGGGAAGTGGGAAGGATTGGTGTTCTGCCCGCTGACTCTCCTTCAGCAAAATTCTTTCTTCCCTGCCCTGAAAAGCACAGATTTGGGGATTTGACAGACCAGGTTTGAATCAAACACTCCTTTAGCTGAGTGAAAGTATCCATGATCAAGTTGTTAAACTCAGTGGTTTTTCTGTAAACCAGGGGCAATAACACCTAACACACAGAGTTGTTGCAGGTGTGGCCTTGACCTGAGGGCACACCCTTGGTTGGCAGGGGCTGAGGCCCATCTGACCTGGGCCCTCAGCCTCTTCTCTCCTCAGTGGAGAGAAGGGTGAGGGGTAGGTTTAATTGATTACTGTTTAGTTAGATTTCTGTCACTTCACACATTTATTCACTAAAAATTCTGTTCCTGCTATCACCAGCCCTTCACATCTTTTTCAGTAAACTGATCTAATGAATATTTGTGCCGTAGGCTGCAATCTAGTGTTTTGAAACTGGCTATTAAGTGGTATTTTGCTAATTTGGAACTAGGAGACT